TCTTAAAGACTAATACCTCTGATCATTATCGAGAGTTTAATCAAGTGAACTCAGTCATTTGGGATGTAATTAATTATAGAGGCTTGACTCTATAGGGAACTTGAAACTCATGTAAAATAAATCCTATTTAATCTTTGTATTAAATAGAGAAACTTGTCAGTCACATATAAAAAGTTTGCAGACCAAACAAATCTCTTAGTTTGCAGGATTTAGCCTATAGTCAAGATATACACTTAGCTTTCGGGAGGGTGTAGTATTCGTGCTATCGGACACGATTATGTCAGCTATTAGACAAATGAGATCCATTTGATTTCATTTTTCGAAAACTAAAACATACTACTTTCAAAACTCAAATTATATACTTATTATATATTAAATTAAATTTCAAAATTATTTTCAATTTTCAAAATCAAATCAAAAAGTTGACCGACACATGGGAGGAAGGATTTGTGGAGTGCGGGTGGAGCAGAGGGTTGCGTGGAAGGCAGTAGGCGGTAGGGAGATGGTCGGAGTTGGCGTCTAGAAGCAGAAAGGTGTGGAGAAAAGTAGCTGGGGGCAAGGCTAATTCCTGGAGCTGGCTGCTGGAAGCAGAAAGGTGTGGGAGAAGCAGTTGGTGGAAAGGCTAAGACCTAGAGCTGGCGGCTGGAAGCAGAAAGGTGTGGAAAAAAAAAGACGCTGGCTGCAAGAAAAATTGAAAGGTTGGGGGCATCAGAGAGATGGTAACGAGCAGATGGAGGGGAATATATATGGATAACTATCTCCGCAGGATCGAGTTGCAGCCGGAACACTCTTCGAACCCTTGTAGAAGATCAACACCTTGGATAAGTTACAGACGCACGTTCTTGTCTTTAGATACAACCCTAAAAGTGAAAATAGCCTAACCGGCTGGCTAATCAGAAATTTTAACTCCGAAAGAACATATTTATAATTAGATTGGTAGAAGAATGGGGGAAAGGCGCGGTATTTTTCCTCAACAGCAGCCGACCAGTCTAGCCTCCCTATTGGACCAGTCCCTTGGCTGAACCGACCGGCTAGCCATAAAAGCCCTGCGTTAGTCTCTCATGATTGGGGAAGCTTCGACTTCATTCGTCGAAGCTATTGGTTTCTTGTAGCACGGAGTCTAGTCTGCCTTGTTGAAGATATCAAGGATATTGTAATCCCCTGGTAGGTCGATCATGTATGTGTTGTGATTCCACAACACGTTTTGATAAAATAAATATGCATCATCTCTTTGCACATCTTGAGCTAGTGCTACATATACATATTAGGTTTCCACTGTATAACCTTGAGCCCTTAAATCTGAAATCTTCTTTTTTCACTTCTTGCACTAGCAAAATGTAGCTGATAAAATAATATGTGAGGAGAAATCAACTATGTGGTGAAATCTGTGGCAGACTACATCACTCTCACTAGCAAACACTCAGGAAAAACCTCTTCTTCATTGATAGGATCGAGATCCTATTAAAGAATTTCCTTCTTACTGGACAGCTGATGATAGGTACCATGCTGAGTTGAATCTAACATCTGAATAACTCTATGTAATCTTCTCGACATGGCACAAAAGAGCCCTATTTATGTCATGCTAGGCCTCCCTCAGTAGGGGCAACTCAAGAATGATTATAAATTTGAATGGTTTGAATTTCTCGTATATGGGTTATCATACCTTTGATATTAGTTCCTCAAACTCAAGACTATCCTGCACACTCACCATTAAGTCGGTTGGAGGCTCTACCATGGGCTCAATCGAAACTATGTGCATCTTTTCCTCAACTGGAAACTAGTACTCCTTTGTGCCTTCACCGTCTTCAGTGTCTATTATATCATTACTCAATTTTTCAAGAACACGTTGCTCAGTAAAACAGATAACCCCCTAGTGGTCTTATCTTTGACATTAAAGCAAATGTCCCATAAGCTCTTTTTTGCAAAGCCCAAAATTTTTTTAAGAGAGTAATGCTACATTTCATGTGATCCTACGCACCCAAATCAACAATCCATGGTCATTGTCAAGTTCTTTTAGCATACCACAATCACTTTAGAGGTTGGTGTAATGTTGTTTTTTTTCCTACTTTCATGACTATTGGTTAAATGGGGATTTACATAAATAACATACAATTTTTTTTATTCACATACATCACTCCTAAACTTTCATATTTACACACATAGCACTCAGATCTTCAATGTCACATCAAAAATATCTCTGTTATCACTTTTCAAAAGTGAAATATACTTTTTCATGCATAAGTTTAAAACACAAAAGTGCTATGTATTTGAATATGAATGTTTAGGTGAGATTTATAAATACATAAGAATTGTGTGCTATGTATATAAATTTCCCTTGATTGATTGGAGTTTTTTTGAAGAATTTCAATTTGTTCATTGCTGAGAAGATTTTGTTTTATATGGCTATACTGACTATTGATAATAATAACAAGCTTCTCTTGGCTTCTTTGGGAGTTGAAATCACGCGCGGGTTTCCAATTTGTTAGTTTTTCTTCTTTTTTCTAACAGTTTTCTTTGGTATGATCATATTTTCATTAATGATGACAGTAAGCAATTCCCTTTTTTTTATACAGTCATTATTTCCAAAATTCTAGAATCTCAAACCATCAGAGTCAAATCCATCAGATGTGATGATTCCATCATAACTCTCCAAAAACTTTTTTCTTGGCTCAGACTTCATCTGTATCATTGTTCTATACTGTTAGGAACTTAATCACCTTTTCTCAGTGGCGTGTTTCTCTAAATCCTCGTCAATGGGGCATCTCTGTTCTTGAGCTTCAGACAGGTTATGTTGTTGTCATTGTCATACTAAATAACAAAGAAATCACTTTTCCAAAGTTCATGAGAACTTTTTCTAAAGAGAAAAGTTTTGATATTTTTTCAGAACTTGAAAATGTACTTCGACGACCAGACAAATTTCTTAAGTTGTGCTATTTGGCAAGAAGTTTTCCTTTCTTAATAGCCATAAAATTAGCAAGTTAGTACATGACGGTATTATTTATGTATTTTCAAACTTCTACTCAATATTTTCTTTCTTTGGTGCTGTAATAGATTCAATGAGATGATATTTTAATTTTTGCTCGTCCTACAAATGAACATCTTTATAAATTGAAACCGATGGAGATATTTATGGTCCTTCAATTTGTGACTAGTGATAGGGATGGTATTGTTCATAGCACCTTTAGGCTACGGGATGAGCACTTCAAGATCAGAACTTATCACGAACGAGGAGGGTTTGTCTTCTTGTAGCCATACTGTAGCTAGACATACAGGATGAAAGAAATTAGAGAAAGAAAGTCTTTGATGCCATAAAGAAAAAGAAAATAAAATAAATTTTCTATTTTTAAAGCAGTGTACATAAGAAGAGTAAATCAAAAATTAAATCAAAAAGTAGATATTAATCCTGGATCCATAGATAAAAGACAATAAATGCTATATTCCTAAAATTGTGTGCAAAATAATAGGACAATAAACTAAAATGGAAATATAGGAATCTTGTGACATAATGACAACAAAGCATTCAAAATAATAATAATAATAATAATAACTTATTGATTATTGTATTTGTTAATGCTTGAATTCTCTTGTTAATTTTTCATTTACTGATTTTTTTTAAGTTTCATAATTATATTTCTCCTGTATAGTTTAGAGGTAGATAATATGAACAATTGCTGTTTATAGGGGTGTAAACGAGCTGAACATGCGTGAGCCAAAGTTTTGTTTGTGTTTGGTTCGTGTCTGAAATACATCTTGCATAATCTATACGTGTTTGGCTTGATTGAAGCTCATATTCAACTCAGCTCAAATTTAACTTACTCATTTATTAAAACTAAAAAAACATATTTAATTATATTATTAATTTTATTAAATTAATAAATAATTAATTTAGCAAACCTTTACCGGTACCCGTATACTTCCACTGTCCCTGAAAACAGTTAATTTTTTTGTTGCGTTGAAGAAGCCTACTTTTGCATTTTATAGAGCTTTTCTCACAGCCATATTATGAACTTTTTTGATGTTGGACTAAACAATGCCCCCATCGTTCCGTTCCCACTTCCCATATTCCCACTTACGCTTGACGCTTGACGCTTGGGCTAACAAAATATTTTTGAAGACTTTACATGCATGCTGACTAAATCCTATGTATTTACATTCCCAACCCTTAAAAGTGGGGCAAGATTTTTAGCATCATTTACATAAGTACCAGTAAAATCCCATATATATACATATTTAACATCTAAAATTATATTTTTTATAATTATATCACCACCCAAATTATTTTAAAAAAAAATTTATCATTTTTTCAAATAAAGTATAAAAATTAATATAAATAAATATAAATAAATATTATTATTATTATTTATTTTTTTAATTATTTCGAGCCAAAATAAACCAAATACGAAGGAACAAAATATTGTTCCTGCTCGGCTCGTTTATATATCAAGCTCAAAAAAATTGTTTGTATTCAGCTCGCTTGTTTAATGAATGAATTGAACATGAGCTAGTTAACAAACCGAACACGAGCTATTCAAAAGCTATGAGCTTTTTGATAGCCCTAGCTGTTTAGAGGTACTGCAAGTTAGGGTCCAATGGACATATCATACATTTAGTCTTAAATCCCATTTAAACAGTGATAATTTCTTATGTACCCTATGAGATTTATATATGGTATGGTATGATCATCGAACATACCATATGTTAAAGAAATACCACATTGATCATTGTTATTTCAATGGCTGATTGTTAACTACAACTCTGATAATGACTTGAACATACTCTGACTCAAATACATCCCAAAATATAAAAGCTCGATGCAAGGATACAACACTAGTAGCAAATCTAGAACTATATATATTGATAAATTTTTATTTTTGTTTTCTCAGTTAAGTGCGTTGTAACATTTTGACCTAAATCACTGCAGACAAAAACCTTCTCAATGTATTATCTTTAGTTTAATATAGATTGCTTTTGATATCAATTATGTGTCTCTGAATGTGCAGATTTTGCAAATTCTTGCTCAAGCACTTAGCAACCAGACTACAAGTTCTAAAGTTCTTCTAATATCTGGGTGTGCATCCAAAATCAACCCACTCTCATCTTACCTGAATTCTAAAGGTTACACTATTTGTGTTGACGGTCATTCGCGCATTTTACATAAAACGAATGGGTTAGTTTGCTTAACTATGTTAACAGTTACTTTTTTTTTTGTAGGATATACTACAAGAATCATTATTTATTAGATTTTTATTCGACCCATTATGTACCTTACAACTAAAACTAAGTTGGCTCACTTCTGTTAACAGACTTTCCACATCCTGTTTCTGTTTGCAGTGAAAAATCAGGAACAGTCTTGATTAAGGATTTAAACGACCTCCATGATTTACACATGGATAAATTAGAGATAGTTATAATTGTGGATTTTCCTTCCTCTATCATGGATTATATAGCAGTTCTGACAAAGGTTGCGCGGCATACTCTTGTCGGGGTTCTGCATAGTTTCTTTTCTACAGTAGATGCTCCTTTGGCTCCGTCTTTGATTGAGGTACTTGAACAATGTGGCCAGGTGGCTCCAGAATTTCTTCGCAGCCTTTGAATCCTCACATCTAATAACTAAAAAGTTGTCTGTCGAGTGAGCAATATGTTTATAATTTGCTTTTTCTTAACATGTTGCTTTTCATAAAAAAGAAATGAAACGTGTATCATCAACATTGTTTTATATCAAAATTTGACATTGAGTTCTATTCTATTTAATCTAATACTAGTGCCATATTCACCTTCTTGTTTTTTTTTTAATTTTTTTAACTTTTATATGCCTTACAATTAAGGTTTTATAGGTTTGAAATGCTCAAAGTTTATGCTTCTCATAGTTTCATCTATTTTGTTAAAGCTTTATTGGTGCATCAAGGAGACATGAATCAACTCAAGTATTAATAAATTAGGGATGCACAAGTGGGACAGGTCTGTCAATATGGCTCTATGTTAGGCAAATAGCTGGTGTTCGAGATAATCATTTCTATCATGTTCTAGAGTCAATTATCTCAAGTTAGAATGCCAATACCATATATAATATGAGAAGTAAAGGGATCAGAAAGATCATAAAGAGAACCATGGGATCTTATCTAGTTGAATTAATTTTATCAGTAGTTAGTATGAATTGCGATCGCCCTTTCTCAAACTTGTAGATGTCACTATAATTTAATTGAAACATATATGTTGATATTTTATTGGTGACAGAATGAGATGGGGTATTAGGATTGAACCTTTGTGATATGTGAAGTCTATGGTTTGAGGATGACATAAGTAAGATAACTCAAGCAAGTCATGGAGGCCATTGGAGCTAGCTAGATTTGGCCTCTTTTAGATGTGAAGATGACATTATTTAAAGTTAGCAAGGATGTAGTGTGAAAAAGATATGGAAGTGTTCTGGAGGCTGGATCAATATGACCCTAGAAGTGGAGATGATAAGTCGTGATGGTAATTATAGAGTGGTTTGGAACGTCATATGGACCATTAAGGAGAGTCTGTTCAGTCCTCTTGTAAAAGGTGATATTGTAAGACCTAAATTTCTAGTGTTGTAAGATGTTCATGGAGTCAATTAGTGGTGTTTGGATCGATCCTTTCGTTAGTACGGAGGTGAGGCGACCTGAAGATGCCGATGGAGTTTTGTAGGAAGGCTGCAGAGGTGACGTGGGCAATAGAATGTTGTAAGAAGGGCATGTGAACTTTGGAGGTGGTTAGATGAATCCTTATTTGGAGGTGGAGATGACCCCCCAACTAACTCATAGGAAGTGACCAAACAACATATAAAGCAGTTTGAAGTCTTCATTCGGTGGTCGAATTGATCCTTCCCATCAGGTGGAGATGGCACAACCTCAAAGCTGCAATGGAGCCACACAGAAAGGTAAAACTAGTCAAATTGAACCTCCCATGGAAGTGGAGATGGTTTACCCGAAGGCAATGATGGAGCACCGCAGGAGTGCATGAAGACAATTGAAGGTGGTTAGATGTCATCTTCTTGTGGCGATGATGTGTCCTAAAGTGATGCCAGAGCAACAAAGAGAGGCCATGGCTGCCATTGATCATATAATCTATATTTTATATTCTATATACTTGTATTTTCAATTGTATAAACGTATGATTTTTTTATTAGTCTTCACCAGAGGTCCATTCCAATAGTTCCTGTCAAGCAACTAAATCAAGATCTTGAGCAAAGCTGGCATGGGGCCGACCTCCTAATGATTGCAGACATGCCATGAATTTGAAGTTCTTTTTTACAGACTTTAATCACCTTGAGTGAAGCATAAGCAAAGAAAACGCAACAAGTGGTTCGAGCCATGTGGGTATGGTCCAGCTATGGACATTTTAAGCAGGAGAGCCACAGGTGCAAGATAACAGGAGGCATGAATAGTGATCGAGTCTGACTGGTATTTTATAATAGAAACATGCTAGATATGGTGATTGGTCATGGCATGCGTGATTGATTTCTTCATCAGGTGAAGAGATAAGAGGGCACTTTTGTCCATTCATCTGCTGGGAGGATGAATGGCTATTGACATGGCACAGGTGGTAGGTTGCAGTTTGGGATGTTGAATGACTTGGTAATGACTTGCTTTCATAACTTATTATAGGGGTATTTACATGCATTACCTCCGAATTCCTCTGTATTTACATATCTAACAGCTATACTTTACTTTTTACACTTAAAGTGAAATACATTTTTTCATACATAAGATATCATGTGTAAAAATTGAAGTTTAGGTGTTAGATATGTAGATACATAGGAATTGAGTGCTATGAATGTAAATCTTCTTTGATGATGTTTGTTCACTCAAATATTTATGTATTTACATATCTAAAAACAGAACATTACAAAAATTCAGTTTATCATGGCTATTAAGGCTGTCAATTTGGCTTGTTTTTCGTGAACATCTCGTGTTTGGCTCGTTAAGCAGCTCGTGGAGCCGACCCCGAAGTATAATTTGTTCCCTCGTGTTCGGCTCGAAATGGCTCAAAAAAAAATTATATAATTTTTTATATAACAATATATTACATATATTATTTATATAATAATATATTATATATATTTATGTCTAAGTTTAAATCATAACACCTCTTGTAGCAATATAGTTAGTGTTTTTTTTTGTATAGATTTGATCCAGGTTCGAATCCCACACTTTATATCTATTTTTCACAATTTTAATTTAACGAGCCAATTTCGAGCCGAACACGAACACAAATATTTAAATCGAGTCGAACACGAACACACTGTTCACGAGCCGATTTCAAACACGAGCCGATTTCGAACACGAGCCAAGCTTGAGCTCGCTCGTTTACAACCCTAATGGCTATCACTAGATGATACAGCGTGTGTATTATTAAACTATAATTTCTAGAATACAGTTTTTCAGATTTTAGAACTCTTCATGCGATGCCACATACTATATAAAAAATTACAAAGTAAAAGAGCAAGAGCATACTAAGCCTAGCGGAAAGGAGTACTTAATAAAATTGGAAATAAATCTTATTATTACAATGATACCAAATTCAAGACACTTATTGGCCAAAAAAGAAAAAAAAAATGACACCCAGCATGACTGATGACAATATAAGTTATCTTCTTATTTTAATTTTTTTAATAAAGAAACAAAATTACAGAGCAAAATACAAAATCAAACTAGAGGGTGTTTGCGTGTTTGCCACCACTCTGCACAGCTTCCAATATCAGGAATCTTTCTTCTTTTCTGCTGTGGCTGCTTCGATATGCTTCTGCATAAAATGCAAAACTTCCTATTTCTTTGCTTTTGTCTTTGAAGTCTTATACAATTCTATAGCCATGGCTCTGGTACCTAAATATTCACAAAATAACTTATCCGGTACGCGACTTCTCATGACTACAGCCCGGCCCTTAACAAAATAACAAGCTGGAGGAGGATTCTAACGCCTATAGTTGCAATATTCAAGGAATTGCCATCATTCAGTTTCAGGAGTGTGGGACATATATGCCTACATAACCAAAACCTACAGCAAAAAATGCCAAGCCCTGGAGAAACAGATATATGAAGTAATGGTTCCTCCCAAATGCCAAATCATAGAACCCACAGAAGAAGAGGAAGACTCCCACCCCTAGCTCCAACACATGTAACCTGTTTTTAGACATGTGAAATTAAAACATATTAGAGAACGAGAATCATCGTTATAATCATTCAGATTTAGGAAATTATTTGAATTACTTATCGCCGATCCGAATTTTCATTTTCTTAGATGCTTTAGCAATGGTTTTCGTCTTCAACGCATCACCTAGCTTCTCAGTGACTATCCATTCATTAACCTTGCTGGTCTCTAAGAGGCCTACAAAGGTAGCCTTTGTTCTATGCAAAGACATGACATTCTCAAAAAGGATCCAGAATACTATCAAGTGGAGAGATCTATAACAGGAGGAGAATAAAGAAAACAGTAATTAGAACAAGAATTATGGTATACTATGTCTAATATAAGAAATAATTTACTTCAGCAAAAGACACAATATCAGCAAAATATGAACTTGTCACACTTTGAGGAATAACACCAAATAGAGAAGGTGATATATCTCTATACCTTGGAGTTCCAACAGCATTAAGAAGGGTGATGATGGATGGGATATAGACTGAACCCCACTTTGGAACTTCTACTTCAGGAACTAAGACAGTTGCCGGGATGACCACACAGTAGAACACAAAGGTGACAATATGAGCAACAATTTTTCGAACAAAGAAGAAATTGTAGATCACATGTATTTTCTTAAATAGAGATACTTTCTGCAAAACCATAAAACAAACACTCATTAAATTAAATTGCAGGCATTATGGTTCTTCGTAAATAATCATATCACACTCTATGTTACCTTGTTTCTTACAATCTCCATAAGCATTTTCCTGAACAAGTTTGCAGGACCACATGACCACCTGTGTTGCTGATATCGATAAGCTTTGAAGGTGCTCGGCAATTCATTTTTTACCTGTATTTAAGATAACAAATAAACCAAGAAAGTTGGGTTCACTCGCCAAAACTAAACACATGAGTTTGCATAATGACAATGCTCAATTAAGTAATGAAGAACCAAATATGCCATTTTGTCGATTAATAGATGCCCAAACACAGTATTTTTTGAGAAAAAATCAGTCATTCAAAGAAAGCAGAGTACATAAGGTAGATTGAACAGGAAATTTTTAAGGACAACTGTTGAGTACCTTAAGATTTGATAGGTATACGAATTTCCAACCTTTGAGGCTTGCTCGAACAGCCAAGTCCATGTCCTCTACGGTGGTCCGATCCTTCCAACCTCCTGCTTCATTTAGAGCTGATATCCGCCACACCCCAGCAGTCCCTGGATGCAAAGATCAACTATCAATGTTTAGACAAACATAAAACAATGTGAAATCATAGTTTCATTGTAAACAAAATTTCACCAAGGGCATGCAACTTGTAAAGGAGAGAGATGTTCCCTAGGAAGATAATACTCACCATTGAAGCCAAAAAAGGAATATATGGAGGACCCAACCTCCTGCTCAACAGTGAAATGGTAATCCAGGGACATCTCCTGCATCCTAGTCATCAGACATTCATTGGAGTTCGCTGATCAATCAGAAAATTTGCAAGAGTTAAAAACTGCCCTGTGAAATTTGAGCGGTTTTGGTGTTGGCTAGCTTGAATTCTTCAAATTATATATACACTCTCAAATTACGTATTCATGGTTAAAATACAGGCCGTTTATTCTTTCTGCACCTACCTTAAATTCACTCATTGTAAACGCCCAGCCAAACAGAAAGGATCATGAATATCATGCAAATGATTAAAATATAATCAAATGCAGATGTAGTTAAAGAAAAACAGAAAGAAAAGAAAAAAAAACTTAATTAACCACATTCCAATCTTTTGAGTCCAATAATCCTATCTAATAAAATCAGTTTTCTAACAAGAATGTCCAAACGAGTGCTTCATCTCTCAAAAAAACATTAAAAAAAAAATAAAAATAAACTCATGAATAATCACAAATATTATCGGCTTACACCATAAGCATGTGCACAAGTCTGTAATTATTCAATGAAACAAAATAAGTATACCGCCAAAGGCACAGAAGCAAAAAATACAAATTCATAAGACGAATACCCCACTGTTATTTAAAAAATTACAGACTATGCCAATTTTTTTGAGTCAGAATATTCCGGCCAAATAAAATGCCAAAAGCTCATTAAATTTCTAATAATAATAATAATAATAGTAATAATAATAATAAAGACACAAGGTCATTATTATTAGCTGAGCTTAAAAGAACTGCACATGGTAGTGTCGGTAGGAAGCAGGAAACAAGAACACGTGGGTGAAAACTGGTCCAGAAATTAGTTGAATTTATATGAATGGCAAAATATTTATGGCTAACGCCCGTGGAATTTAACAGCAGCCGAATAACTGCAAACAGGTAAAATGCTGCAGGTTGGAGCCTGGAGGCTCTACCTAAGCCCTCATCCTGCCTAAAATATAGGTATATAACCTTGCGGGTGAGCCCACGGGCAGCCCGGCTCTCCACTTCTTTTTATCTAAAATTAATTTTTCCAAGATTTAAAACCAATAACATATAAAAAAAATGTATATTTCAGATTTAATATCCACCGACACAAATAAACAAACAAACCCCTATAAACGCATGTGTCACAACCAATATATGTTGAGACTTCAAAGGATAATAATTGGCGAAAAAATTAGTAGTTCAAAATTTAATGAAGGAGATTATTTCTCTGAGAAAATTGATGGATGCCAAATATTTTGTACATTATGGCATTTCATACTAAAAAATAATTGGCCAGGTATTAGTTTTATGGTAAGAAAATTGTCTCTGGATATTCTAAATATTTTTTTGGTTAGAATGGGTCTCAATATCATTGAATTTGCATATAGATAAATCCTTATAAAAATATAAAATTTTGATGTTATGTATGAAATGGTCTTCATAAAAAAATCAGGGATTTCAAACCATAACATTGGACAAGATGGGTTTAAAAATACGACAAGCCTGCAAACAAAGAACTGAAAGGCATCAAAGAAGATAGAACTGGATTAATGAAAAAAGTTTTTGTAATATTCCAATTTTTTACAAAAATATCCTTCGATTCTTAATTTTCTGTGATGCACATGCCACAAAAACTACACCCATCTTAGCCAATCGCCAGTCACGAGGTCCCAAAAAATTATAATTTTGTCTGCCAACAATTATTTGTACTGTATAAAGGTGTGTCATGTGCTTCTTTAGTGATATGGTTGGTTCATTAATTCATCTCTACCCAACCAACCAGTCTGGAACCCACAAAATTAACCGGACAATCTCAAATAACTCCGGTCACACTCTCTCTCTATCTCTCTCTCTTAACTCTTACTTCCGGCAGGAGAGATGTATTTCGGTGGTCTTTGAAAATGGAAATAGACGGCAGAGGATGGGGGCGACATCAGCGGTGGTCTCCGCAAGTTTAGCCATGTGATCAAAGAGGGTGACGTGGTGATCAGTGTTTTCTCAACACTATTATAAACTAATTAATAAATTAAATTGGTCAAAATCTCATTCAGCGAGAATTAGAAAATTGCAGCAATATTTCCAGGAACAAAAAGTCCAACACTACAGTGAAAACCATAATTGGCGCTCTTGATTATGTCATTCAATCGGTTCTCAAACTAAGTCATGTTTGAGCCATGCATGAATTAATCTCAAAATTGTGCAATTTGAGCCAAAAGTCAAACAAATCTACGAACCTTCCTCGCCTCATCTTTTTCTCCGTCTAGCATTATCTCTTCTAATACATGCTAATAATAGAACCAAATGACAGCACTGGTGACCTGATATTCGGTTCAGTTTATTTCAAGTCATATTATTCAGAACAAACGCATTCTATTCAGACATACAAATTATAAATGAAAAACGTTTGCATATCTGGTCAAATTTGGGCAAACCAAACCACTGGACATCTCTTTGCCTTCTCACTAGCGGCCCAACCCAAAAAGTCCTCTTTTTCACAAATTCTGTACCAGTTTTAGATAATTAAGTGATTTAATTAAAATAGAATGACAATTTTTTTCCACGTTATAACTTGCTTTGCTCAACCATAATCGTATCAACAATTATTTAATAAAATTATGTCCAACGAATACAAATATAACAAAGAGATGTTAAGGTATCACTTTATATTTTGTTTTTCATTTCATACTTTTAATTTATTTTGTATATATTTTCACTTGAAATAAAATATATTCGGCATCCTATAATATATTAGGTTATTTTTAAAACTACTATAAGTAATTTTAAGTATTATCTAATTTTTTTTAAATACACTAAATAAACTTATTTTAAAATAAAATAGAAAAACAAAAAATAAAATGATCCCAAACAGGCACTGAATGAATCAAAATCCTTGCCTAGCCAATCCTAGAATCAGCATGACTGAATAAAAATAATTCTCAAATACATTTGGTTCAACAAACTAATTTCTTGTCATCCAAAATTTATCAAATATAAAGGGGCTACCCAAATAAATCCTGTAGTGTATAACTGTGCCTAGGCCGAGTGTACGCTGCCAAGGAGGAGGTGAGGGGGCTAGCGAACTATAGTGACATTTCTCTTTACAGTTCGGACCCACGTGCCAGCGAGTGAAATGTTCCTACTCTGTCGGCGAGTTAAAGCGTCCGTCGGACATCCTATCATCCTCTTTCCTTCTGAATTAAGAGTTTAGTTACTAACCCTAGTGAATCAAAGCGGACGAATAAAGGAAAAGGGGTGGTATTAAAGCGTAAAACAAACAAAAGTTAAAAAAGGCGTGGCGGGCCCAAAATCACGCAGCACTCGTCTCCTCCGGCCGCCATTAACAAATCGAGTATCTCCGAAAGCGACGTGGGTTTATGTTAAGCACGTCGACAAACCACCCCACCGACACACGAAGGTAATTTTTGCAACTATTTTGATTCGTTAGCATAGGGAAATAAGGCTGATATTTTATTCACCCAAAGTTTTAACATCAAGATCAGCACGTAATCTTAAATTTCTTAACAATATTTAAACTCAAGTCAAACTTTTAACTCCCGATATCTTATCAAGAACTTAGTGAAGATGGGTAGCAAAATTAAGATTTGGTTTGAGAGAAGTAAAATAGAAAAAAGAAGAAGGGGGTAGGGCTTACAGAATTTCCAGCGAGCCTGAACGAGGCCGAGTTTGGGGTTGTGAACGAGGAAGGGAATGGTGCGGGTGAGGAAGTCTGGCTCGGGCTGGAAGTCGGCGTCGAATATGGCGACGAAATCACAGCTCTTAACATAGCTATGCTTCATCCCCTCCTTCAGGGCGCCGGCTTTGTACCCGTTCCGGTTGTCACGTATCTCGTACTTTATGTTGATTCCCTTGCTCGCCCATCTCTCGCATTCCATCACCACCAGATCCTGCAATCCCAACCGTCAGATTCACCCCACCTTTCCATCTTTTCATTTCTGATCATTTCTTCTCGACAAATTTCTCAGAAATTTATCTTTTTAAAAAAAAAAAAAATTGATCAAGAGTCAAGAACATATGTATGAGTTTTGGATTACTGCTCTAACAAAAATAGGGGATTTATAAATAACATTTTAATATTGTCCTATTTATATTTAACTTTCAAAATTTAATATTTACTCACATAAAATTATTAAACAACAACCAAAATTCCAACTTTCTTACCCTCATATTAACTGGATAACTCTTCCTATCCACACCTTGGTGGTTCTGCTGATGCTCTTTTCAGATCAAAATTCAATACTTTTTTTTTCTGTTTTTCAAAGTTGACACAGATTAATATACCTTGAATACACTCTATCCACACATACGGATCATCCATTCGTAATATTTTCTCTTTATAATCCCGTGGACCGTTCCATTAGCGAAATTACATCTTGAATTCCCCTTCTTTAAACTCATTAAATTTTAATTTAGAATTAAAGAGGGCAGAACTTCTAGCATATCTTATGTATTTAAATATTTAACATCCAAAATTTAATATTTACACTTATAACAATTTGATGTCGTAAATTTATTCCTTAAAAAATATATTTCACTTTTAAAAATTAGCATAATGTTAAATATTTGAGTGATATACATGTAAATGCCAAAAAAAATTAAGTTTTAGATACATATGAATAAGAAAATGTAAATTTTATGTATGAAATTCGTTTTATTTACTTTTGGAGTTAGTTATTGGACTAAACGAGCCAGCTCAGAACGCATTGATGAGCACTTTAGCTGGCTTAATCATTCGAAGGAAGAGACTGTTAATGAGACCCCGCAGTGACTTTTGCGAAATGATTAACATTTAAAATAGCATTAATACGCGCCAAAACGTGGGATTTGTGCGATCTTTATGTTAATTAACTCTTTATTTTAATTTAGAACTACGAGATGAGATGAGATGAGATGAGATGAGATGAAGACAAAGCGAGTGGGTAGAACAGAGCACTGACCTTGATGATGGGGTCGGTAGAATCGTCAAGCACCTGGATGATGATCCGATCGGACGGCCAGGAGAGCCCGCATGCAGCTCCAATGGAGAGCTTGTAGACCTGTAACCATCGCCGAGAAAACGAAGCTCAGAGAAGTGTGGGGAGGGATGAAGAAGAGTCGAAGAACGGATTGAGGAGAATGGGGCGGGGGAGATACCTCCTTTTCGTTGTACATGGGGATTTGAACGAGAACCATGGGGAATGCGGAGTTCCCGAGCTCAAGGTCCTCCTGTAGTGGCTCCCATTTGTAGCGCCTCTCAGGGCGGCGGCCGGAGAGTTTGACAGCGACGATGACGACAGCCATGTATACCTTCTCGACGAAAAGCATCACCGACATCACAAGACAAAGAAAAGTCGCCACGCGCAGAAGTGGGACGATCACCGGAGCCTTCACCTGCTCCCAGATCAGCGCTATCTGGCCGGCAATGTCATCCCTCCCCAACTGAAATGTCTCCGGAAGTATCCCCAATGTTGCCGACGAAGTCCCGCTCTCCATTCCTCGATCCGCAAAGGGTTAGATGAGATCTCGAAAAGACAAGATTTCAGTTCAAGATTAAAGAACAGAGGGCGGGAATGCTCCAATAGGTGAAAAAAGACGCATATATAAGGGGGGGTTTCTACTCCTTCCTTGCTTAAGACAAAAAGCTCCTATCTCTTTCCCCCCGTTTCACCCCAAATTTAAACTGGAGACCAGCTTTGCTGAGAAATTACGCAAGGGAATGTGGTGGAGCTGGATTGTCAGCAACTCAATATCGGATCAGAACTCCAGAAACAGAATGATGAAGAAAGAAGGAAAGAAAAACAGAGAAGATTAGGGTTTAACCCAAAGTCTTCCCCTGAAATCTTCCCTTCTCCTCCACAAAGAACCTCTCCGACGGCCCAACCACTTGATAAAGATCAATAGGCGCAATGCGGGTTAAAATGGGAAGGAAGAAGAGAGGGGCAATGCCTCGCTTCTCCTGAGAGCCCCACCCGATGCCAGACAAAGTGGATTAGATGACAATTCCAGGTAAAACAAAGAGAGTAAATGGTAAACGGTGAATGAAATCAAAGAAAGGGATGTAATCCAACAACTGAAAAGAGAAGAAGAATTCTTCTTCCTCAGTTACTCTTCTTCTTCCCTCTTTCCCACTTGGCGGAGGATTAAATGAAGTAGACTCGCAGAGAGTGAAAGGAGAGTTGCATAATCTGGCTTACAGCAGGCATTAAATAGTCGCTGCTGAAAGCAATTTACTATAGAGTAAAAACTGTGATCGTATCATTGCGAGATCAACGAAAGCAGGAAAAGATTCTTTTAATTTTGCAAAAAAATCAAAATAGTAAATTGATTGCTAATAAAATAACTAATTAAGAATGCATGCTTTATTCATCTTAATTAAGCAATTATGATTTAATTTTCCATTTGAAAAAATAAGAGGGATGGCTGGTGGCAAATAACTCTTTAGAGTTTTGATTTATTCTTTTTTGTTCTTTGTCTTGTTTTTAGAAGGAAGCTTGGTTATTCATGCAATAATTCTTGTACTTTCTGAAATTATATTTTGACATTTCAATGAAAAGGTAAAAACAATATAAAAAACAAAGGTTTATACAAAAAAAAAAATATATAATTCCTTTGATTATCGAACTATATTGTTAGGTATGACTCATATATCATAAATGAGACAGATGCTGGAGCGGAGCGGGGCCCATGAGCGGAGTGAAGCGGAAGAATCTGTCCAATCACCATGTGGGTTGGGGGTGCGGGAGAAACACTATGCGGTTTGGTATATGAGTAGTTTAAGTAATTACATATTGTACTATAGAGTTATATATGTGTCATGTTTGTAACCCTATGCGAGTCTCTGGGTCTTTGAGATTTTAAATCTTGTATTCCGTACTATTTTCTGAATATTGAAAAGAAAGTCGCCACTATACTCCCGAGGATGTAGGCATTTTTGCCGAACCTCGTAAATTTCTGTGTGTTCTTCTGGATTTGTGTCGATTCATAGTTTTTCTTCGCCCTAATTTCTCAACATATATCATAATGGATGGTTGATAAAAATTGGCTACATTATTATATTAAAGTATACAATTTGATTAATCGATTAATAGGTGAGCTGTTAAATATACCGCACTAATAGTTTTTCTAATCATAAATCCTAATCGATACATCGTTACTACTTAGGAAAAATACCAAAATAATCATTCTCAATATCTTATAGTCCCAAAGTTTACATTTTTATATTTATAATTTTTTTTTTTGATATTTTATTATACGCTTCATGCAAGCCATAATTTGTATTTGGGTTACATGCATCCCACCCAATTCTTATGTTTTTTTTAAGATTTATACCACCCAAAATCATTCATATAACATCAAAAATATCGCCATTTTAATTTTTTAAAAGTGAAATACATATTTTCATAGATGGTGAAAGTGGTATGTATGTAAAAATTGAAATTTAGTTGTTAGCTATGTAAATACATAAGATTTGACGGGTTTTGTTGGAGTTTGATTTCAATCATTGTTTTATGAAGAAACTCGGCCGAATTCAACTCGTTAAGTAGCTCATGTTCACATTGTTTGTTAAGTCAGCGAACCGAATACAAACAACCTATTGACGAAATAAATAATATATATATTATTTATATAATAATATATTATATATATTTATATCTAAGTTTAAAGCACTACAGCACGTGTGATTGCATAAAAATATTGCAAGTTCAAATCCAACGCCCACATCTATTTTTTTAATTAATTTGGACTAATCAATTTCAAACTGAATGCTAGCTAAACACAAACAATAGTATGTAAACATGAACAAGCTTTTTTGCCAACAATTTCAAACACGAGCCACTTTTAAATAGAATTAGTTTCGAACGACCCAAACTTGGCAGCCCTTTAAAACATACCTATCAGTTCCTTGCTATAATCTGTTGCCAACTTCCTTGCTTTGGCTAAATGCAACACTGATCTTCATGTTTTGGCCCAATTTCCACGTTCCAATTAGACATTATAGTATCAAATCCAAGATTTTAAACTTTGAAAATTGTCTTATATGCTTAAATTTCATTCCATATATATTATTGGTTGAGCTCTTATGATTGGAGGAGATTGAATTTGCATTGATTTTCCTTAGGACATTTACATACATACACCCAATTCCTATGCATTTACTTATCTATCACCTAAACATTACTTTTTACATTTATACCACTTAAATATTTCCCGTTACCTTAAAAATGCCACTATTTTAGCATTTAAAAAGTGAAATACTCTTTTTCATGCATAGGCAAGATGACACCTATGTAAAAAATTGAAGTCTTGGTGTTAGATATGTAAATATATAGGAAGTCAGTGGTATGTGTGTAAATTTTCATTTTATGGAATACGCATTTCTAATAATATGTTGCTTTGTCGAGCATATGTATTAGATTACTAAGTTGGGGGGCTAAATTAGCTTTTCATTTGTTTGTACTGTCATTAATATTTGATGTGCTAATTCTATGTTGTAAATTATTAAATTAATTTCATTATTTGCTGATAAATGCAATGCACGACTATGGTAAGAACGTTAGCTTGTAACACAATAACTTTTATTGATATAAGCCTTGGTGTAGAGAGTTTAGGTAGTCCTAGGACTTGAAATCATTTGAAAATTTTAGGTTAATAAATGTATAGAAATGATTCATAAATTTTGGTGGATTGTTTATATGTTTTGTGATTTTTATTTTGGTAATAGGTTCTATAAGAACTTAATTTGGTCACTAAAATTGGGAGAGAAAAGAATGCATTGCTTTGATATGTAGCTTTTTAACAAAATTATAATAGGTTTAGGTCGATCGAAAGGCTAAAGATACTAAACTAAGGCTAGTTTGGCTCCAATCTTGGCTGAGAGCTTTAGAGTGGAGTTTAATAGAGATTTTCTGGAAGAATAACTATAAAAATGAATGCTTTTGTTATTTTCCGCTCTTTTAATTTTTTGAAGGAGTCACTAGCTTGTCTATTTACAATCTTCGTATTATTCCCTTATTCAAGTAACTCTCCCTCTCAGATAGAATGAATGATCCGGAAAGGAGAGGAACCGAAATGAGGGATATAAGTCGGGCAATAGACAAACGAGAGAATGAAAGTGGAGAATTTTCATAAAGTGAACTTCGCGTGGACAACACAAAAGCATACACCCGAAATGAGATCAGATCAAAATTACCCTAGAGAGATAACTGCGAATAAAGCCTTACGAAAACAATTCACAATCAGATAATCAAGTTTTTGTGCTTGTTATGGGGTCAATAACACTCTCAATAGGCTGAAGTCTACTTTCCCAGAACTCTAAAAAATGCTCCAGAATGCAGTTTTGGGAACGTAGTTGCCCGGGACTAGCGCCTAAGCACTGGCTTGGCCCGAAAATGCTGATTTTCATGTAGACCGTCTACCGGAGGGTTTCTTCGATCAGCGAGCTATGGGGACCAAGCATGACTGGAATATGATCCAATAACTACAAAAATTAGTACTTTGATCAGCCATTCTTTAAGGAAACTATTGCTAACGCTGGCGGTGGACCATGGTGCGGGTGTGGTGTTCCAAAACTTAATTTTTGCACGATTGGTTGTAGGAAGGTCCTCGTCGATTCGAAAGCCACAAAAAGTTGGGTATTGCTAAAATACAACCCCGTAACTCATAAATGAATAATTTAGGAGTTTTAAACTGAGATTTTTGGTGCTGACAGGAGCCCCAACCCCGTGCAGGGGTGAAATCAGTCCAAATACAAATTTTTCCAAAATGTGCGTGAAAGATTTTGGTAACCATTCTTGGCCTCATAAAATTTCAGATTAATGAAGTTGGGTCTCTCAATATCAAAACAGACTTAGAACACATCTAGAGTCAAGGTTAACACCACTTTACGGTGAATTTTCCCTGGTAGGGCCAAATCGATACCGATCCTAATTTTGTAATCGGGGTATGTACCGGGAGGTCTAATTTGATGTCTTGGACTGTGGGAAGCTGGACACAAACCCGTGTTGTTTAAATAAACACCCATTGTGCATGATATCAAAAATTGATGCCAATAATGGAGTAAAGATGTTACAAGATGATAAAAAAAGAATCTCAAATCAAGTAAAAAGAGTTAAATTACCAAGGATAATTGTTCGTTAAAGCAATGTGATTATGGATGGTCATCAAATCTCAATGTCCTTGAGTAAGCCTCTAAGCCTTTAAATATTGCATGTAGCTCTAATCATATTTTTAATAAACAATGACCCACTTCATTCAACAAGTTAACAACTAAATAGTTCTCATAAAAATGCTAAAGTCATCTAAGGCATAATAGAAGAAGGATAAGTGAAGGCTAACCCCTCCTTTTGAATGAATGACAAAAGATAGTCAGCCCCTATGAATGATAGAAGGTAGTCAGCCGTTGATTACCATTAACTGCTTCCAACTTGCAGCGAAGCACCTTGCAAAGCAACAACTGACGTTGCGAAGTCACGAAGCAATCTGAGAACCGGGGCACAACAACACATCTCGAAGATGGAGCAATGACACACTTTGCATACACTCGTGCAGCTCCTGACTCTGGCACCCACGGCCTACAGACGTCATTACAAATCACCACTATGACCTACGTAACCAACTATGACCTACGTGGTTCATAACTTGTGCAGCTTCTGACTCCAACTCGCATGACCTAAGAATGTCATTACTACTCACCATACGATCTATGTGACAAACTATGACATACGTAGTCAACAGCTCGTGAAACTCTTGACTCTGACCCTCACAGCCTACCAGCATCATTACTACTCACTATTACGACTCACGTGACCAACTACGATCTATGTGATCCACAACTAGTGTAGCTCCTAACTCTGACCCTATGATCCACAGCTCGTGCAGCTCCCGCATCTCACTAATATAACCTCTATGGCCAATTGACACTCATGGAGCAACCACCTATGACTCACCTAGCCAACTATTGACATGATTATCAACTACGACTTCTACAACAAACTGGAGCTACAGTCACCAGCTACAACACTTATGACAGACTATTTCCTCCGCGACAATCAACTGTAGCCCTTGCAATCTGCTGTCGCCAAGAATTACAGCCAGATTATAGATATACAATTTTGTAAATCCATCTATCTAATTTAGAAGAAGAATAGACATGTGTTCTCACCATTCAT